CCAGCCAGGGCCCGTGTGCCCAGGACGCAGGGGCCACCCGGCTCACCTCTCTGCCCTTGTCCTGTCCCCACAGCCCCACCCCTGCCCTGTCCCCACAGCCCCTGCTCTGCCCCCACAGCCCCATCCCTGCCCTGTCCCCACTGCCCCTGTCCCCACAGCCCCTGCCCTGTCCCCACTCCTGTCCCCACAGCCCCTGCCCTGTCCCCACTGCCCCTGCCCTGCCCCCACCCCTGTCCCCACTGCCCCTGTCCCCACAGCCCCACTTCTGCCCTGTCCCCACTGCCCCTGCCCTGCCCCCACTGCTGTTCTCCAGGCCCCACCCAACAGCCTCCCCGCGTGTCCCAGCCTCAGGGGAGGGGACCTTCAACTCGGCCCACACTTTCCAGGACTCAGAAGCGGCTGCTGCTCTGTGAAGCTGCCCAGGCCTCCCGTCCCCTGCCCCAGCCAAGCCCCCGAGGAGCCGACCTGCTCCGCCCGGGCGCAGCATTGCTGAGGGGACCTGTCCGTCACGCCTGCCGGCTGGTGCCCACCTCTCCCCAACGGGGCCCTTCCTGGGGCAAGGACTGTCCGGTGCCCACATGTGGCCCGAGCACCCTGCTGCGGGCGAAAGAAAGAGCTCGGCCACACAGGCCTGGCTGTCCCCTGCTGCCCAGACAGGCCGCCTCCCAGGGGACGCATCGGGAAGGGGCCAGCCAGACGCACAGGAGCCGCAAAGGGCTGGACTCAGCGCGGCGGCCTCCCAGGGCCTGGCGGGGCAGAGATCCCATGACAGTGGCAGGAGGTAGATGCCAGAGTCGCGGCGTCTCAGCTGCCGCGACCTGCGGGGCTCCCGCCAGCGGGCACATGCGGCCCACGCCCCGAGCCTGGGCTTCAGCCTGGGCTTCAGCTTGGGGGGCTGGCCGAGGGGAGCAGCCCTGGCTCAGGGCCGGGCTGGGGCGGCTCTCCCCAGCCTATGCCCACCCTGCGGCCCCAGGGGTCTTGCTGGGTCCATCGCAGCCCCTCCCTGGCCCGCCTTCGGGCCTCCGCCCCAGCCAGCCCCATCTCTGCTGGGGCCTCTAGGCCTCCAACTGCGTGTGTTCAACCTCCCCTTCCCTGCATCTTGGCCGGTCGTGTGGGGTCACACAGCACTGGCCACACACACCTGGCCCCACCACAGCCAGACCACAGCCCAGACATGACGTGGAGGGGCCGGCCGCGTCTGGCGGGCAGGAAGTGGGCGAGTGACCCCGTCTGTGACCAGACACACAGCCATGCAGCCCCTCCGCAGCCCGCCCCTCAGCACCCAGCCTCGCCCCACCAGGTGCCACTGAGGACACACAGCCATCGAGGCAGGGCCTGGAACGGACCGGGGCCCCGGAGACAGGAGCCCCCCAGCAGGCAGGCAGAGGGCCGTGCGGACCCTGCGGCAGCCCCCAGCAGATGGGTCCCGAGGCTCTCCCGGCCTCGCTCAGCCAGGCGGGTTCTGAGCCCTCCTGGGAGCAGAACACAGCACAGGAGTGAGACGTGTGGCAGAGGGCGAAGGAGGCCCGACGGGGAGGCACGGAATACCCAGGCCCGGCGTGGGAGGAGCTGAACCGGGAAGGACCAGATCCTCCCGGATCCCTGGACAGAGCGCTCGGCTCAGCGGAGGATCGGGCGGGGTGAGCCAAGGGGCCAGAGGGTGACCTGGGACAAGCTGATAATGCCTATATGGCTGCGCTGAGCCGGACTGCGCTGAACTGGCTCAACTGGGCTGGGCTGGGCTGAGCTGAGCTGAACTGAACTAAGACAAGCTGAACCGGGCTGAACTAGCTCACCTGGGCTGAGCTAGGCTGGGCCGAACTGGGCTGAACTGGGCTGAACTGGCTCAACTGGGCTGAGCTGAACTGGCTGAGCTGGGCTGAACTGGGCTGAACTGGACTGAACTAGCTCAACTAGGCTGAACTGGCTGAGCTGGGCTGGGCTGAGCTGAACTGGGCTGAACTGGGCTGAACTGGCTGAGCTGGGCTGGGCTGAGCTGAACTGGGCTGAGTGGGGCCGAGCTGGGCTGAGCGGGGCTGAGCTGGGGTGAACTGGCTGAGCTGGGCTGAACTGGGCTGAACTGGGCTGAACTGGCTGAGCTGGGCTGAGCTGAACTGGCTGAGTTGAACTGGCTGAGCTGGGCTGAACTGGGCTGAACTGGACTGAACTAGCTCAACTGGGCTGAACTGGTTGAGCTAGGCTGGGCTGAGCTGAACTGGGCTGAACTGGCTGAGCTGGGCTAGGTTTAGCTGAACTGGGCTGAGCGGGGCTGAGCTGGGCTGAGCGGGGCTGAGCTGGGGTGAACTGGCTGAGCTGGGCTGAACTGGGCTGAACTGGGCTGGGCTGAGCTGAACTGGGCTGAGTGGGGCCGAGCTGGGCTGAGCAGGGCTGAGCTGGGGTGAACTGGCTGGACTGAGCTGGGAAGAGCTACGGTGAGCTGAACTGGATGAGCTGAACTGGGCTGAGCTGGGCTGGGCTGAACTGGCTGAACTGGCTGAACTGGCTGAGCTGGGCTGAGCTGGGCTGAGCTGGGCTGGGCTGAACTGGATGAGCTGAACTGGGCTGAGCTGGGCTGGGCTGGGCTGAA